CTGAATGACAGCCTTCCTGGATAAAGTATTCTTGGCTGCATGTTTTTCTCACTTAGTACCCTGAATATATCATACAGCCCTTTCTGGCCTGCCAGGTCTCTGTGGATAAGTCTTCTGCCAGTCTAATGTTTCTACCATTGCAGATTAAGGATCTCTTATCTTGAAATGCTTTCAGAATTTTGTCTTTATCTCTGAAATCTGCAAGCTTCACTATTATATGTCGGGGTGTTGATCTATTTTTATTGATTTTGAGGGGCGTTCTCTCTACCTCTTGGACTTGAATGCTTGTTTCCTTCCCCAGATGAGGGAAGTCCTCAGCTATGATTTGCTCAAATATACCTTCTGTCCCTCTCTCTCTTTCTTCTTCCTCTGGGATCCCAATAATTCTAATATTGTTTCACTTTATGGAATCGCTGATTTCTCAAAGCCTCCCCTCATAGTCCATTAGTTGTTTTTCTCTCTTTTCCTCAACTTCCTTTCCATCATCTTGTCTTCTATGTCACTGACACTCTCTTCTGCCTCATTTACCCTAGCTGTTAGAGCATCCATTTAAGACTGCATCTCAGTTAAAGCGCTTTTAATTTCAGCCTGATCAGATTTTATTTCTGCACTAAGAGATTTTTCTAATGTCTTTTACGCCTTTTTAAAGCCCAGCTAGTAACTTTATCATTGTTATTCTGAATTCCAGCTCTGACATTTTACTTATATCCATATCGATTAGATCTGTGTCAGAGAGTATTACTTCTGGTTCTTTCTTTTGTTGTGAATTCCTCCTTCTAGTCATTTTTCCCAGAGAACAACGAATGAGAGAACACAATAAAAAATATCAACCACGACCCAAGTGAAATATACACTAGAAAAATCTGAAGAGGTCAGAAACCAAAAGAGAAAAGAAAAAGAAAAAAAAAAGGGGGAAAGGAGAGAATATAATCTCCCAGGTGGACAAAATAGGGTGATCCACTTGGTCTCGGGTGTATTTCGGTCTGTTTGTTAGAAGACACTAAATCCCAAATTTTAAAGAAAGCAAAACTTATACATATACAAAAATAAAATGGAATACAGTGAAAGGAAGCCAAAATGAAGAATATATCTATAAAATGTAAATGTAAAAATGAAAGTTTAAAAAAGGACTTAAAAACAAAGAGTTGATAAGAAACCAGTTGAAAAGGAAAAAAAAGAAAAGGAAAAATTTAAACTGAAAAATAAAAGAATCATGAGGAAAAAGAATCTCAAATTCTATATACTATTTTCCCCTAGCGCTGGAGTTTTGCAGTTCTGTGTGCTCTGTAAACTTGGTATTCACCTGATGTTCCAGCTGGTCTTCTGGCGGAGGGGACTGCTGTGCTGATTCTCAGGTATCTTCACCTGGGTGGAGTTGCACTGCCCCTACACGGGGCCGGGCTCCGTGTAGGCTGTTTTGGGTTGCTCTATGTGGCTTTTGTTCCCTAAAGGCTTTCTGTGCCCCTTTAGAGGATGAAAATAAAAATGGTGGTGCCCTGCTCTCCAGCCCCGGAGCTGAAAGATCGCAGCCCCCTCTCTTCAGTAAACCCTCAGGTAAAAGCAGTCTTCACTTGTGTGCACCAAACTCTGCAGACTCCTGCAGTTCACACCCGCGCCAATCCTCCTGGGGGAAGGAGGAGGGTTGCCACAGTTCTGCCCTTTGCAGGGTCCCCTCAGGGACAGTGGCCGCCTGATCATGCCATGGTTTGGGGTTTATGGCAAACCAACTGAGAGCCCCCTACTGGCCTCATTGACCATAGCTGGTTTCCCCGATCCCAATCGTTGGGAACTCTGCTGGCTCAGGCACCCCCCGTTCTTTCTGTGACCCCAGGGATCCTGAGACCATACTGTTTCACCTAGGATTTTGCCCCACTTTGCCACCCGAGCACCTTTCAGGCAGCGATGTCTTTCACTGGAGCAGATTTCTAAAGGTTCCGATTTCACGCTCCACGGCTATATCACTTTCTGGTAGCTGGCTTACAGAGGCTTCCCCACCCCCCTCCATTTATCTTCCAATATATCCCCTCAGATTCACTTCTCTGCACTTCCTACCTTGCAAAAAGTGGTCGCTTTTCTATTTGTAGAATTCCAGCAGTTCTTTTTCTTACATCTGAGGTTGAATTCATAGGTGTTCAGAATGATTTGATAGATATCTAGCTAAAATTCAAGGGACCAGATGAAACAAGTCCCCTACTCTTCTGCCATCTTGTCTCCCTCCTCCACAGGTAAGCCTTGATCATTCCGTCTCTCGTGTCTCTCACCTGTAAAATTAAGACATCTTCGGATAGCTCCCGTTTTTGGCAACAAAAGCTTAAAGATTAAATGAAATGTCTAATTTGCTTCAAAAACTTACTGTGGACATACTAGGAGTGGCTGGAGGCTGGATGAACTGCGGGAAGCATGCTCCTCAGATGCATGTAGATACACCCCCCAGAATTGCTCCTCTGAGCTGGGGGAGCACCAAGAATAAAGGACACTGTCTGTAGGCGCTTGGCCTTGAACTGTTTTGGAAGTTTCAATAGCAGAGTAAATGATTTTCCCACGGATCATTTGATTAGCTGTTGCTCACGATGACTTAAACCAAGAACAAGTGACTTCCCCCCATCTGTAAGTAGGTTATATAAGAGTTAGAGGCAACAGACTTCTCGAGGGCCCATTAAGTTTGAGCTGCAAATGTAGGCTTAAGTAATGCAAGGTGGAGATGAGACGCAGAAATCACAGAAACAAATATATGGCATACACAGACAACCAAGCCCTGCTATGGAAAGCTTTAATCACCACATGTAAAAACAATATATTCACATATCAAAAATGGCTCCAAATGCTTTATCATCACCATAACAGTCTAGAAATGAAAGTTGCACTAATATAAAAACCTTCCTGTTCATAACCACAAGATTTATGAAACTGTTTCTTATAAACACATTTTTTTTACCCTGAGGCTGACATCAAAGTGAAAAACAAAAGTCACTATCAGCTAGAATTTGTTCAATGTAGAATTTTAAAAATCATTCACTCATTAATCTGGAATAGGTTCTCTTAACTCTCCTCACGCGTACTATGTGCGGACAAGAGGAAAAGGGGACAGATGGTTGCGTCTAGTCTATTATATATTAATTAGGATTTCTCAACCCAATCTATTGACCAAAACGAACAGAATTTTAATATCAATTAATGCTACACTATCACATTGAAAAATTTATCAAAATTAGTTCTTCCTTATAAAAGGAGAATTGGCAGTACATTGTCAGACAAGAACAGAATTCTTTCTTACAATGTCTATTGCAATGCACTCTATTTACTACATCTGAGCCAACTAGTTAAGTTCAGAGTTCATACCAACTGCCTTGCAAACCTCAACTCTGGGCTCTTGGTCTAGATAAGATCTGCACATCTACAAGAATAACTCCCAAATGCTACAACAGTTACTCCATTCCAGTGATGGGAAGGGCAATTGTGTTAAATTGAAAAAAAAGGACAGCCATGTTGAAGTGGGGATTACTGTAACATTTTTTTGGTGTGTAAATAACAAATAGAATAAAAAGATTTTCAAAATCTGAATTCCAAATGTCTCTAATATTGTTCTTTTGTGAATGAAACTAGAGCAATAGTTTGCTACCTCTCACAAGGTAGCCTGGTGACTTTTCTTCCAATTATTTCCATGATAATCTCTGTAGGTTTCTAAAATGGGCTCTTCCTAAATATTCACAGCATTTCATGTAAACGGATGTTAGTGTGCACATCTGAGTCAGGAAATCTTTGTTGCTGCTTGGTTTCAAAGTATTGTACATAACAGGTTCCTGTGTACTACTTACTTTCAACTGTACAGTTACATGTATTCTGGACTACAATAAAAATCTGGGGATAGATGGCAGTTGAAGAATTACCATGCCTAATCTTGGTCCATACTCTTCATTTTTATGATTTCTAGATGCTTTCCCAGTGCAAATGATTGAAATGAACAACACAGGTATGGACATTTACTGGTTTTTCCCTGAAAAGTTAAATTACGTTCACAACTTCTCAGTCAAAACTGAATGAGGATAATGGAGAGAGAATTCAGTATTAGATTGAGTTAGGAAAAGGTTTTCTGGCAAGGCTTGACACAGGTTTTTTTTTTTTTTTTTTTTTCAGGTAGAATCATGGAAAATCAAGATGGGGAAACACTCAACCATCATATGGCTAATTCCTCCATCTGACACCTGAACTCTTGTATGACATTTCTGCCAAGTTGTTGTCTAGCCTCTGCCAGAATACCTCTAGGGGCAGGAAGCTGTTCCAACATTACTTATTCTTCTTTAGAATAGAATAATAGCAAAAGAGATGGAACGGGTAAACAAACTTCCATTACACGTGATTATGAACTAGATCTAACTTTTCAAGTGTTATCAGATTGTCGATTTACTACTCAGAAGACTAAACCAGATTTGTTCCAAGCACCCCATGCCTTCTGCAGTGATTCAAAATGGGGAGATCCAACTTAAAAATGTGAATATTATGAATTGCTGTTGAATAGCTGTGTGTGATAGGGAGCAGATAAGAAATCTTACAAGTAATTATTGTAGGGACCCCAAAGCAAAGGGAAAAAGACGTGTTTTGGAAAAGAAATAAATGTTTCACTCTGAAGAGGCAAGAAACAGTGTGTGCAAGTCATGGTACGAGAATTCAAGAGCCCTGGTGGGTGAACTGCAGGCTAACTACAGTCTGCAGCCCGTGTCAATTCTGACATAGGAGATAAGAGAATGACATGAGCGGTCTGAGATGGCAGCCTGCTCCCCTGAGCAATCAGAAGCAGGACACTCTCCCTTGACTCTCTCCTTTGGCTGGTCTGGCAGCTCTGTAAATAATATTTTTATTTCTGATTTCTCCCACGGTACTCAGCCTGCTTCGAGGTTTTAAATCCCCACTTTGGAAGACCAACAAGGCAACGTATTGATCGGTGGATAATAATGTCAGGATTCAATTTACAAAGGATCAATTCCTCTGAAGGGACACAGTTATGTCTGTTTTTTTTATTTTTTGGACATATATATATGAATAAATATAACACACACGTAAACTTTACAGACTGAATGATCCTGTTAATTGAGACTTAGCTGATTCAGTTTTGAGTGCTACCTTTCGCCTCTGTGTTAAAATGGCAATGGTATCATATCAATCTTTAACAAACAAGACTACGAGCAACGGACAAAAACAAAACAACAAAAAACCAACCTTAAAGTCAGTATGTCTTTTTATATGGAGGCCACTTTTTTTTTCATATCTGTTTCAAAAGTATCAGATAGTGAACATTTAGTGGCTAGATGACAGGAGAGCAAATCTTCCTGCAAAAAAAGCACAGAACTTCCTTGACCACTGTGATTTGGAAGTGAAATCAATAAAAGTCTATTAAGTATTCAGGATAGATCTGGTTGGCATCAAACACCACAAAGATCTTTGGGTCCCAGGTATCATCCACACAGCTGTCATATAAATTCACATAGCTCCCGTCTTTGGAAGGAGGTCGCATGTATTTGGAGTCTCCGTTTATGTAATCTCCAATTAGCACTCGAGCGAGAAACATAGATTTATACGTTCTAAACAGATGCCGCTGTTGCAAGCTGACGCCATGAATTTGGAATGTGTTTCCATGTTTTATGTCGTCTTTGCAGAAGCGACTGGAGTAAATAGCATCTCTAGCAAAATAGGTTCCTTAAACAAAAAGGACCAAAAAAAAAAAAAAAAAAAAGCCAGGATTACTCTGAAGAACATATGAAACACAAGCAAAACACTCTAATTGTTAGGGGAATGGGCACATGGAATCGTCCGAGGAAAACAGATGTGGTATTTCCTCGTCTGTAGATCTCTGAGAGAGAACAGAAAGCCATGGATAAATTGTTTATACAACCCATTCCCCACCATCAACACCCTCCCCTATTCCCGCCAAAATGAAGTGACCAGACTTCCATTTCCTAAAGGAAGCTTACAAAGAAACGGCAGAGAAAAATTGTTTCTGTGACCAAACGTGTGGTGAGAGCTGAGTTCTAGCTGCATGGGCCTCCCTCTCATTTCTATTTGCCTCCACTGCCTTCCCCAGCCCGCGGCCCTCGTCCAGCATCCACCGGCCCTCTGCTGAGGCCAGCGAGAACAACTGGTCTGCAGAGATTACTTCAAAACCCAAGAAACCACATTTCTCTGCTACAGGGTAACAAGTCAAGAATATTTTGGGAGATAATAGAACCCCATAACCACAAAAAGACTTCCGAAGAGTGCATGCTGTTCATATCTGAGCACTCCGGAAGAACAACTTCACACAGGTTCATCACCAAAATCTGAAAACTCAATAAAGCATCAACTCTTCCAAAAGGGTAGGCCTAGGAGACTGACATCATGAAGGCAATATTTACTCTGAAAAATTTGGGAAATGAATCACAAAGTCTCAGATTATGCCATACTGACAGAATTTATGGTAACACTTTTCCCATCCCCATACAGTTAAATCAATGGGATGGCCTTTTCAGTAATTATTTTAAAAATTAATCTACTTTATGAAAATGTAGCATGTCTTGATCCTAAGTAGTAGCCAGCTCTCTTGCTGGAGATAAGGTAAGAAATAAAGACCAGAAAAATAAACACCTATTCCTATCTTTTCTCTTCATCTCTCACCATAATTTCCTTGAATAATGGGCATAAAATGGAGAGCTTGGACTTTCACAACATTAGAAAAAAGATGAGGCATTCCCCCATATTCCTTATTGCTCATTAATATTCTTACCTACCATTTTCTAAAAATCAGAACAAAAAATACTAATACCTAGACCTGTCCACAATGTAACCAATTCATTTTATAGTTCTCTGTATATTTGACATAAAGCAGTTTATTATAGAGGCTTATCCAAGGAAGGGATTTATATATGGAAATTAAATATAATGCAAAAATCAGCTTATCTGGACATGATGTCCCATCTGAATGACTGGGACTTGGGGAGCTATTTAATCTGATAGAGGTGTCAAAGTCTTACTTCTACCCTGTACCTGCAGGAAGTGGCTTTTCTGTGGCTCAGAAATTCTGAGGGTGTGTGAGGAACCTAGTACAGTAACTTTTAACTTAATGACTATCAAACTCCTGAATTATAAAACAATTATCTCTAGAGAGGAGATTCTCTCCTAGGACTCAAACAAGACCTGGAATTCTGATAATTACCTTTCCCAAAGAGAGCACCATGTATACCATTTATTCTCCAGTCAAAGTTATGAATGCAAATTGCTTCCACAAATTCACTGCTGGTACCATGAAAGAGCATTTGTTCATTAATCTGAGGCACGCCTCTTTTTTTCTTGAGCTGAGCCTTTTTCCTAAAAACACAATATACATAGGCACAAAACACAAAGAGAAGCAGACCATAAGTGGCATTTATTAGTTTTCAGAAGACCTAAGTTCAACAGAAAGGGTGAAAGAGAAAATACTTCTTTAACTTAATCCACTTTAAGTGGACAAAGCGGTTCTGGAAAAGAAATAATCTCAAAGGCTCTTGGACACATAATCATCTTACCAAAAATTATTAGTTACAACTGAGACTTAAGGTTGAAAATTATACCAAAAACTATAGCTATCCCAGATGACGCCCCATCATAGTAAAGGTAACTGATTGCCTAAACCAGCCAAGCTTTACAGATGCCTAAAAATGACACTAAAAATAAATAATATAAAGTTCACAGAGTCTTTATTTTTTTCTTTCCTTTTTTTAAATTCAATTTAAGTTCAATTCAACAAGGTATAGTACATCATTAGTTTTTGATATAACGTTCAACGATTCATTAGTTGAGTATAGCACCCGGTGCTCATCATATCATGTGCCCTCTTCAATGCCCATCACCCAGTTACCCCATCCCCCACCCACCTCCCTTTCCACAACGCTCAGTTTGTTTCCCGGAGTCGAGAGTCTCATGGTTTGTCTCCCTCTCTGATTTCTTCCCATTCCATTTTAAATAGTGAACTCCTTCAGCAGGGACCATGCCCTAATCTTTTTATCTCCAGAGACTAGAAAATGTTGGTTGGATTGAACTGAATTTTGTATCTTAGAGCTGAGAGGAACATTAAGCCAACCACTTCAACCCACTTCCCAATGGACAAATCTCTTCTTACCCATAAAAAGATATTCAATGCAGGACTGATCATAACCGTAAAAAACAAACTGAAAACAGCTTCATATAGCATAGATTCCAGGCCTTTTTCTTTCCCGGACAGCCTTTAGTTGCCAAGAATCCGCTGGGTATCTTCTAATTTATAAATGTCAGTAAGAAACAGAAGCAGAGTCCAGATATCATCAGCCAGCACTGGCTCTCCTGGCTCACCAGCAGCATCACTTCGTAGTCACTCCAAACCCCCAAGACTTTCTCAAACAGACCTCTTTTTGGCTGGCTGTATCTGTACAACTGACGTATAGACCTAATGTAGTAGATTGATTTCAATTACACTTTATCTTGAAAAGCAATTTTTAAAAAATGCATCATTTATAAACAACATGCAGCTTAGTGACTTTGTGGGGGAATGACAGCTGCATTTAAATGAGAGAAATGGAAATGGTCTTTCCCAAGAGTCATTTGGCAATATGTATCAAAACTTAAATGTGGGGCGCCTGGGTGGCTCAGTGGTTAAGCGTCTGCCTTCAGCTCAGGTTGTGATCCCAGGGTCCTGGGATTGAGCCTTGCATCGGGCTCCCTGCTCCGTGGGAAGCCTGCTTCTCCCTCTCCCACTCCCCCTGCTTGTGTTCTCTCTCTCACTGTCTCTCTCTCTGTCAAATAATTAAATAAAATCTTAAAAAAAAAAAAACTTAAACATATATGCTTTGGTCTACTCGTGACAGTCTTTTGGACCATTAAGCATGAGGCTAGAAGGGTGTGCATTAAACAAATACGTTCTTCAGAAAAATCCAGCATGTTTTCACTAAGAACAAATTTGCTGACTTTCTTTTTTAGACCTTTATGTACAGTCTGATTATTTATTTATTTACAATGCACATATGTTGCTGTTCCAAGGAAGGGAAAAAATCTTTAAAAAAAAAAAAGATAATCAAATTTATTTTGACTGTTTCAATCTTCCAAGGTCTTTCTGACTCGTGATTCATTCACATGACAAATAAGCTACCCCGTCGCTTGTTAAATCTTTCACAAGTGTGATAAACAAGCCCTCTACATTTTCATCAAAATTACTGACAAAAATGTTGAAGGGCTCAAGAAGAAAGCAAGCATGCCACTCAAGTTACTCTCAGCCCAAGACTTTTAACTGGGTATTAATTTTTCTCTTTGAACTATCACCCGGCATACATTTCTCTATCTTGCCTCCAGTACGAGAACGTCTATCAACCACTTTGTAGAAACCAAGTTATACTGTCCAGGGCCTTGGTTATCTACCACTATGGTAATCCTCTTATTTAGCTGGGCATTAGTGAATCCATACTGTTTTTTCCTAAGTAAATATTTTAGTATACATCTTCCTAAGGTCAAGCTTCACTGTCTGTAATGACTAGAATCCACTCTAAAATCAGCATATTCACTCATTATACTTCTCAGGCACAGATTAGGATAATTCCTGGTTTGAAAATTCACCTGAGTCTCTCATAGTGTGGGCACTGAAAATCTGCTCAGTCACTGGATTGGACGTGCCATATATCCCAGTTGAAGGCAGAGTGGGATAGGGTAGGCAAAGCTTTGCATCTCCACATTATAGTTTATTCTAGTGCCAAGTACTAAGGCACCCATGATGTGGAGATTCGTGACATACTGTGAGCTTGGGGTTCCAGAAAGGCTAACATTGAGCTCCAAGACCTCTTGGGCTGCAGCTAAACCTTTGGGGAACATCACAGGATTCAAACTACACTAAATTCTTCATGACCCTGCCCACCTTGGTCCAACCCTACAGTCATTTCTGAACTTCCGGAAAATACTCCAGCACCCTCTTCTCAAAGATATCTTAAAATTACCCACACTCTCAGGGACTAGGGTGCCAAAAGGACTAAGTTGCCACTTGCCCTAAATTGCAACAGGAATAACTTTGTGCTCCAGTAAATTCGCCTAGGTTCAGACCAGTGGTTGTTCATCCTGGCTGAGCATCAGAATCACTTGCAGAACTTGTTAAAAGGTATCAGAACACAGAAGTTCTGATTCAGTAGACCTGGGATGGGTGATAGACATTGCCATGAGTTAAAGAGCTCTGCAGGTGATTCTGACAGGTGGCCAGGGCTGAGAACCTGTCATCTAAATCCACATTCTTTATGAGATAGCAGCTTTCCCTGCTCTTAATTCCTTACTGCCTCATCCTTCCCAATCCTGGGTCAATCCAACCACCCCCACTCTCTGCTATTAAATATGGACTGCTGAAATAAGTCATACAACATCCCCAGGTTTCCACTCCAAATTCACATATTCCAACATCAGCTAAGCCCTCAACACTGATGGAAATCCTATGGTTCCCAAGTTAGTTCTTTCTCTCCCATTTTCCACATTGGCCATTCCAAATCTCCTCTTTCCCCCTCTCTCCCTCTTATCTACACCTCCCTAACCCTTCACTCTCTGTAGGCTGCTTCACTTCTTATTTCACCAAAGACACGTAAAGTTTCAGGAAGGAACTCCATAACGTAACCCCTCTTCATCCCCTACCTCTACTTATCTATAAACATGACTGGACCACCCTTGTCTAGCTCCTTCTGTATATTGTAATATATTCTCTGAATTCCACCCTATCACACCTCTTTAGAAGTCTTAATGCATCAATTACCCTTTCCCTTTCTCTTGTACTTTAAACTCTCCCTCCCTGGGTTCTTTCCTACTGCAATTTACACATGCTCAGGTCCCTCCCAACTTCAAATTCAAAAATTGTAACAAAACAAAACAAAGACACCCTTCCCAACTCCACAGTACCCATCTTCTCACATTCCCTCTTCCTCTTTACTGCCAAGCTTCTCGGAAGAGCTGCCAACATTTGCTGTATATACAATATAGCATCCACCAACATGGCTCTCATCAAAGGTACCAATGACCTTCTTGTCACAAAACCCGAAGGACATATTCAATATCATCTTACTTGGCATCTCTTTTGTATGTGACCCTGAGGATCAGGGTCACATACAACACCTACCTGCTTAAACCACTTTCTTCCTTTGGTTTCTGTGACTCTATCTTCTTTTGGTTTTCTTCCACTTTCTGTGGTTGTTACTTCTCAGTTTCTGCCTTGAATTTTTCTCTATCCATCCCTTGCAGAGTTCAGTCCTTGGTCCTCTTTTTAATCTACCTACACTCCCTGGTCATCTTTTCAATTCTATGGCTTCTACTACCTCACATTTTCTGATAATTCCAAAACCTTTATTTCTAATCTACACCACTCTCCTGAGTCATGACACATGTATCAACTATTACTTCCTCCCCATCCTCCCTAAAGACAAAGACCAAAATCTGTTCCTGCCCATATTCCCTTAGTCAACCGAAATGAGTCAGAAACTCTGGAGGTATCTTTCCCATCTCCTTACTCACACCACTGAACACATTAAATCATCATTCTACATCCTTAATATCTCAAACCCATCCTCTTCATTCTGACACAGCAGATGCCACTTTGGTTCAGGCCACCCAATATGTCTCAGTTTAATTACTGAAACAATCTCCTAAACTGGTCTCCCTGCTTCTAACTGTGACTCCTTTAAACCAATGTTTCTCAACCTTCACACTATTGCCATTTTGGGCTAACTGTTGTGAGAGGTTGTCTTATACACTGTAGGACGTTTTGCACCCCTGACTTCTACCCAGTTGATACCAGTCTTAATTCCCCCATCCAACCACATGACAATTAAAAATCATCTCCAGCCATTGCCAAATATCCCCTGGTGGGCAAAATCACTCCTAATGGAGAACCACTGATTTAAACACCTTCTCCACAGTATACCCTGATAACATTATTTTTCTAAAATGCAAATTGGATTGAGCATTCTCTTGCTTCAAGTTCTATAACGGATTGCCACTGTCCAGGAAAAAAAATCCAAACCCCTCAGTTTGATTTATAAGGCCCTGCATGGCCTGCTCCTGCTAACTCTCTGACCTCAACTCCAAATCAATCCAACTCAAGTAAGGCTACTGAAGAAAATCACACAACCATTCCAATGGTTCTACTACAAACTCCTGCATGCTCAACCGCTTCACTACCTTTCTACCTTCTTCTCTAGTCATTCATCTTAATTTTTATTTTCATTTTGTGGTGCAATTGCCTGGCTCCTTGCTCAAGTTACGGTCCTATACACTGTTAGGTCCCAAGTGTCCTTAGAATAGTGCCTGTCACAAAGCAGGTGCTACAACATATTTCTTGGAAGAAGGGAGAGAAGTAAAAAAGGCCTGGGCAAAATGGAAACGGATGCCTGAGGGACTCCCGTGGGCTTCACCGCCTGTACAGTGAGTCAAAGGTTACATGATGGTAAGAATGACTAGGATTGTAGTTCTTTGTGGAGATGTCAAAATAACAGGCTGTCCTTACAATGAGACCCCATATTTTCTACTGTCAGAGCAGGTGACAGGTTCATTTGCCATCACAGATTTCTATAGACCAACAGTACATAAAATCATGAAGGGCACTGAGAGAGTGAAACCATTTCCAGTAAAATCCTTTGTATACAATTTTAAACATGGGGATTCAATGGTACATTTTACCACTAGAATTGAACAGAGACAACTCAAATTATGAGTTCAAATATAATTGAACTCCACTTCAGAGGCCTGATTAAGAATAATGAATTAAGTTTTCATCAGACCATTTTAGAAAATCTCACTTTATTCACTGAGAGAATAAAGTTAAAGGGGAGAGAAGCCTCAATCCCCCTCAACAAAACAATCATCTAACAAGAACCCAATAAAACCTTCTAAATTCAGTTAAACTCATTATTGTCAGAAACAAAAGTTGGCTTGGTTCAAAGGCTCAAGACTGAAAAGAATACACACTGAAAACCCCTTATCTTACCATAAACTATTATGACAATAAAACCAGGAATATACTCAGGCCGTATTACTACTTATCAGAAGCACGAAAGAATTCCACATATCATTACCAAACAAAAGTCGGCCCAATTTTCAAGTATATGGGAATGAAATGAGTTATGGCTTTGAAATACTTCAGCAACAACAGTAATAGAAATAAAGGGGATAGATTATGTGAGGTAAATCCTAACATGTTAAGTCAGGATGATGGATACATTATATTCTGCATTATATTCATTATATTAGACTCTATTATTTGAAATTTTCTTTTCTTTTTTTTTTTCAAGATTTTCTTGATTTAATTGACAGAGAGAGGCACAGCGAGAGAGGGAACACAAGTGGGAGAGGGAGAAGCAGGCTTCCTGCCGAGCAGGGAGCCCGATGCAGGGCTCAATCCCGATGCGGGGCTCGATCCCAGGACCCTGGGATCATGACTTGAGCTGAAGGCAGTCGCTTAACTGGCTGAGCCACCCAGGCGCCCATTTTCCTGAGTAAATATTAAAAGTCTGCTCATATTTAGGGGCGCCTGGGTAGCTCAGACAGGTAAGCAACCTACTGATGATTTAGGCTCAGGTCATGATCTCATGGGTCCTGAGACAGAGCCCCATATGGGGCTCCGTGTTCAGCCAGGAATCTGCTTGAAGATTCCCTCCCTCTGCCTCTCCCCCCTGACTTGTGGGTACGTGTGGGCACGTGCTCTCTCTGTCTCTAAGATAAATACATTTTTTAAAAAGGTCTGGTATATTTTAAAAAATTAGAAATTACATATCATCATAAATTTAATAAAAATGCTTCAGGAAGCCATTATTTTAAGTAATATTTGTTATTAAAAAATACAGCACAAAAGGTTAATTTGGATAATACCTTTATGTTTTTTGTAATGAGATTTATTTTTAGAGTAAATGCATACTGAGCAATCCAACAGGTGGTTTCCAACCTAAATTAAGTAGTCAACTGAGATTTTAAATCTACTACATACACTGGGCCTAGCAGGACATTTGAAGGTGTGTTTCACAATGTCCTCCAAAACAAAACAAGCAAATGACTATAGGCAAGATGGTGGAATCACTTTTTCAGAAAATTCAACAATTGTTTCCAGAGACTTCTAATTCCACATATAGGGCTGTGCCACCAAAGCCATGCCAACAAAGCTAAACAGTTTCCTCGACTCCCTCCTATTGCCATCTGCAGCCACGACGCATAGCTCTGCACCTCAAAAGCCACAGTGCTGTAAGCCAGGCTGGCCTTGACCTCCAGGGTGGCTGTCACCAGCCCCCACCCCGGCCCCCCGAGAGCACGCTGAGGTGGAGCGCTGGGACACACAATTGGCACGACAAAGCCAAAAGACAACATGGGTCAACATCCACACTTCGCCTTCTCCAAGACTCCAGAAGCCTTAGAGGCTACAGAGAGGGCTCGGGTCAGATGCCGCCTCACCTGCAAAAGAACTCCCACAAGTCCAGGTTTTGAATTCTCTGAATTCTTTTAATTCTGCCGCGGTCCATTGTTTTCCCAAAGAGACTGGCAACTTCGTTATACTCGTGTGTTTGACTGTGCAAAGGAACCAGCTGGAAAAAGAAGTTTGCATAGTTTTACTGGGGCCCCTTCTGCTCATGCACAGGGCGGCTGGCCAGCCCCGCTCTTACCTGATAGGGCACGTCGGTGTTCACATTCTCCCAGTGTGGGGGCATGGGGATGGCCTCATTTTCACAGATGTAACTTTAAATGGCAAAAGACACAACACAGTATTAGAAACTGATGATAATTATGGTCGATGATTTAATTTCGCCTTTTCTCCAAAGCTGAATTTTCATGTTTGGGATATTGTGACAAACGCAATTAATTGAAGCCCTCAGTTCTTTATTTTCAAATATTTACTCAGTGTCTCCTGTGTGCTGCTTTTTGGGTGCTGAACTGACAACTTTGATGGAAAACAGACAATCTCGAATAACATCAACATTTAAAAAATGGTCGTTTAATTCCATCATGTCTTTCTTAAAATTGCCAGAAATTTTTTAAAATGTAAGGAGGATTTTAGATAAAGGAATTTCCAAGAAGACAACCAAATTCTTGATAAAAAAAAAAAAAACAACCTTCTTTAACAGATACTGCCTATCAAATAAAATCCAAACCCCTCAGCCATATGTTCAATGTCCTTCAAGCTCTAACTCAAACCTAAACTCTTCTCTGTTTACTGCCCTCTATTCCCCATACACAGCCTGTGGTAATTCACCTAGTGCGGCCAATGAAACTTTGAAAAACTGCCCACTGCGTTGAAGCCACTGGATATGAACACAGAAAAAGATACTAAGTTGGAGGGCTTCATGGCAAAAGGCTGAGGACATACTAATCCTCTGGAGACTGGAGGTTACTGGAAGAAAGCCATAAATTTCCAGCTTGTCTTTAGCTTCCTTTTTAAAGCTCATTATAATTTTTGAAAAGATCCTACAATCATATGTTTTAAAAATGAATACGTATAAAGAAGCAGACAGTGAACAGTTTCCTTCCCTCTTCATTTGTCACCTCTTGCCCCAACTCCAAGTGATCAGGCTTTTTAGACTTTGGGGTAGTTTTCCAGACATTTTCCAGTACTACAGAAAGTACTGATACAGAAGTACCTACCACAGAATCTGGCCCATGGTAAACACTCCATACATAGTGGTTAAATGAATGAGTGCAATCTATTTTGCAGGTGCCTAGAATTCTATGGTGCAGATATACCATCATTTATGTAACAGGTCCCTTGTTGATGATATTTAGCTTGTTTTTGGCTTTTTGCTACTGTTAAGAATGCTGCACAACAACAAGGTTATCCTTTTGCCATTTTATACACCTACTAGTGTATCTGTAGGATAACATCCTTGAAATGGGATTCCTGGGTCAAAGAACATATTTATTTTGGATTCTGACAGATACTGCCCAAATGCCCTCCTTGAAGGTTGTACTCATTAATATTACCACCAGAAATGGAGAGAATTCCCATTTTCCCAACAATCTCTCCAAAATGGCGTGTTATCAAACTTTTGAATTTCTGACAGTTTGATAGTAAAAAATAGTCTGGTATAATTTGTAGTCCTCTTATTATGAGTGAGGTCATATGTTTCTAATGGGTTGTGGGTCTTCTACTTAGAGATTCAGATATTACAGAGATGAGCCTTTGATAATAAGAGCACCAGTACTTTTCCCAGTGTTTGTTTTTGTTTTGTTCTTCTTGTTTTTCTTGTTTGTTTTGGGGGGGTTTTGTTTTGTTTTGTTAAAATAAAAGATACTTCAGGCAAATTTTTACTTTTACCCTCGGAAAATTTTTTTTTTTCCTAATTTTTAAGGAGCCCGTAGCCTTAATTAATTGTAATTTCCTTGCCGGTAGGAAATGTTAACCATTCACCTTGCATGTAATACATGCTCGATATATCCCTGCCATAAATAAATATATCCCTGTCAGGGCTCACTTACTGGCCTCACTCTACTGTAGCCTACATAACTGTTCCTCCTCTGTCATTATCTTGCTTCTTGTCTTCCATTCTGATTATTCTCTACCTCTCCTGTCTTTGTTCTATGGTCTCTATAGTCTGTGACAGAACAAAGTGCTCGACCCCACAATGTGCTCCTTCTCCCCACCAAAGTACACCAGCAATAATAACATACAATTACATTCACATTTTCCATGATTATATCTCATTTTTCTCCCAGACTGCACACTCTTGCAAGCTAAGTAATTTCCTTATTATATTCCTTGTACTCAAGAATAAAGATATGATGTGGCTGATAAGAAAATAATATATTCTCCATATTCCATAGAAGTACTAGGGCATTCATTATATAAGGACTTGAATAACTTCTAAATCATGATGCTAAAATATAAGCCAAAGGTCTTAAGAAACAAACTGATAGAAACTTAAAGCATAAAAAAAAAAAAATACCTAGTAACAAAGGTGACATTAGGTCAATAAAGATCAATAAAGAAAAAAAAGAAAGAAACTTAAAGCATTTCTTTCCTTACTCTAATTCTTTCAAAGTATCTCTTTGGGAAGAGCAAAGATACTAATTCACATGCTGGCATTTTTTTTTTTCCTGATTAATTCTACATTCTTTCAACAGCAGTAATTTCAATATTCATTCACTTGGGCAGAAAGTGGGAGGTATGGTATGCTCTAAGATTTTCCCCTTCACCTTCATTCACATGAATAATAAATATGTATTCTCTTTTGGCATCTATGCCTCTCTTTTCAGACTGTGAATAGCCAGAGAGAGCAAAAAGGAAAATGTGCAACCAGCCCCAGGAGCAGAGAGCCATGCTGTTGGCCCACCGCTCTCCCACCTCCTGTAGGCCTCCTTTGGTCACGACAGATTTGAAATCACTCCCAGGAGTCACCCAATGGGGATAAGTGGAGGCAGAGACAAAGTGGGCAATTGCCTAGGATTTATGGCCCACATAACTGGGTGGTTCTGTCAGAGTATTTGCAAGTTAATTCAAACCTACTTCATTCAGTAAGCTATTTCAAGGACTTACAGCAGAGACCATGTGCCATTCTGTAACTGTCCTAAAGAAACGAAAACATGTAAACATATAAGAGGAAATGAAGAGGACAATAGGAAAGGAAACAAGGGCAGAAAATAATCATATTGTTAGTTCATCAACTATTGTGAAATTCAGTAACAAAAAGAGCAATATCAAGATCATGAAATAACCTACCCAAACATTTTCAGTCTACTTGTTCCTCTGTCAAATACTAAGAAAGAGGAGAAAAGCCCACTCTTTCTACCCCTAGTCTCTTTACAATACCTGAAAGCACTGATAGAAAAGGGGGCTCTTTTTATTAAGCGCTGTTTTCCAGTGATGAGATTCATTTGCTTCATTTCTGTATACAAAGACAAAGATTAGATAAGTGGTAGGAACATACTGTGCTGTAAATAGTCACGAAGATGTGTAGCCAAAGCACCCGGTGATGGGGAACCTTGGGGCTTAGGGAGGAGCTGACAAGCACAGTCTATCAAAGACATCTCACCATACATCTACTTATCACAACATAAAAGTGTTATTCAGGAGGCGCCTGAGGGGCTCAGTCGGTTAAGCGTCTGCCTTCGGCTCAGGTCATGATCCCAGGCTCCTGGGATGGAGCCCCACATTGGGCTCGCTGCTCAGCGGGGAGTCTGCTTCTCCCTCTCCCTCTGCCCCTCCCCCCTGCTTGTACTCTCTCTCTCTCTCTGTCAAATGAATAAATAAAATCTTTATTTAAAAAAAGTGCTATTCAGGGAGCAGGGCTTCATCGCGTGACCTACGCTCATGCACAGGATGCTCAGCTCATGCTGCTCTATAGGCAGGGACCGCTCCTTTCTGTATCCCACTGACAGTAAACGGATGCTACAGTGCAAGAGTTCCAAACTTAGGAAAATGAAGAGTACTTGGACGAGAATGAAATTATAGAACCAAATCTTCCAGTTGGTTTATTAAGTGGAAAGTATACTTACTTTGATTTCTCCAAAAATGTTGGGAATGGTAAAAAGATATGTTACTGCTATAAAACTTAACACAATTCACAGAATTTCAAAAATTGGTACATTTCTCGCCTTCTCTGTAAATTGTATACCCAAACCAAAAAACAGAAAACCCACTAGACACAATACATCCTTTTTAAAGAGATTCTAGTGATAAAAAACCAGTTAACTCTCTCTTCTGTGCCTTAACTGTGGCGATATCACCAGGTCCATTACTTCATGCCCACAAAGCTAAGTACTGAGGCTTAATGTGAGATGCTAGTCCCTCTGTCTTATCTAACTGGCATCATCCCATTCCAAAATAAAGAGGTTCGCCCATCCAGGCAAATGCTATAAGGTATAAAGTATGTTCTGCCCTTTCTGGATTCTCTTAGGTTCTGCCCACGATGGCATCACCACTGTGCAGGAAAAAGCAAGATCATCTCAGCAAAGGGAGCAAAGCCTGTGGTGTCTTCTTAGAGCAGCTCATTCTGAGTTTCTGTTTCACCATTTTTATCAAGAGCACCTGAGTTGGCTTGTGGCAGAATGGTTGGGGCTAATGTTGCAAACAGTACATGCAAAATGCTGATATCATTATATAGAGGGTTGGTGAAATGGAATCATTATATGTGACTCTTATTATTTGATAAAGACATTTTTTAAATAAACTGCATTGTTTGAGAGAAAGCTCTCCCCAAAATACAGTTTAATAGAAAATATTCTTTCAGAAACATGTGGCTTGCTGAATTATCTACCAACTGCTTTGATAAACTTCATCCTTGTCATGAAGCCTGGTGTGTGTGCATATCATGAAGTCTCAGTATTGCTTCAAATAGGCACTTGTACACAAGATGTCTAAAAGGTCTAGTGGACACTTCCTGTCTAAACTGAGGCCAAAAGACAAATAATCGGGGTCCCTTAAAGGCAGTCTATTTGCCTAATTTCATTAAAAAAGTGATGGCTAGTCAGGAGTAATAAGAATATATTATAATATAATATAACTCTTGCTAATAAAACAAGCTTTGGGGGAAACAATAATCATTAGAGATTTGGTTGCATCAACCTCTTACTGGACAAACCCCCTTCACCATTTCTGGGCCTCCCAGCTCATTCAAGGGGATTTCCTAAGGTTTCACCACCCTACTGCACCACAACACACTCCTAATTCTGTCATAAAGATACTACTCATAGAAGCTGGGATGCACCAGCTAGAGGACTGAGTCATGCAGCAGCCAAAATATGCTTTATTAAGAAAGTCTCCCTGGGGGTCTGGCTGGTTCAGTCAGTAGAGCACAGGACTCTTGACCTCAGGGTTATAAGTTTGAGCCCCATGGTGGGTGTAGACATTACTTTAAAAATAAAATCTTAAAAAAAAAAAAATCCTCCCCATCCAGGTCTTGTATGTCTCTGTGCAATAAACAGCTGAAACTAACAGCTTGAAACTGAAAGAGTTGAATCCAACAGGTTTTTCATGGGATACCTAAAACCATGCCCATATATCACAGACGAAATCCAAAGTGGGGCCGACTTCCAGATTAGCTGGCTATTCTGTGAAAGAGCCAATGAAATCAGAAAATGGTAGAAGGCAATGTCCATGAAAGAAATAGTTTTCTGGCAAAGACACTAGGAGATGGGTCGTTCAGCTGAACTTTGGTCTTCAAATTATCACCAGCTAGTGTTACTAACCTCTCAGATTGATCCTTAAAATAAAAAGATTCCCAGCTATTTCAAAAGGCTGAAGGGATGATGAAGAAAACAGCTAAAAAGTGTTTTGTGTTCCTTAGAAGGGAAGTGTTACATAAGCTCAAAATATACGACAATCTCCATATACATTAGTATTGATAAGCATACAAATACTCCTTTATAAAAGGTAATGTTGCTCAAGATTTTAAATCTTGAATTTTTATAGAGAGATTTCTGTGTGTGACAAAAAGGATTTACTTCACTGTTTACAAATACATCAACTAATTCTCATCTACAGTACTGTAGATTTTACCATATCGATATACTAAAAACACACAACTATTAGGGAAAAAAAAAAACATACCTGCAAAGTCTATCTTGTAGCTGAATTTGGAAGTAGTAAAAGAAATGGAGCCACAAGGGTTTGTTTTGAAGCTTTTTTCGATATCTTCACTGCTAACTGAACACTGAATGTTGGTATCCGGCTTTAAGACAAACCAGAAAGTTTCATTTACGAGCTGTTCACATCAATGGCTTGGCCACAGAGGCGGTTCTGTGGTCACAAGAGACAGAGAATGGAGCGACACAGGGAACTCACTGATCTCCTGTTCTAGCTCCCATACACAGGGAGAATCACAGCTAAGCCAGCGTGTGCAAAACGGTGTCAGGATTTCCAGCAAAGAAACTCCAGCAACTGCTTAGAACCCCTCTTTCCAAATTGTTATGATTTTTACAAATTATTACAATAATTACAACTTCCTCACTGGCTCAAATCTCCTTTAAGTAGGCTTGGAAGTAAAAGAAGAGCACAAGCTTTTGAGTATGGGTTCAAATTCCCTAGCTGTATGTGACTCTGGACGGATTCTGTGACCTTTCCTGAGTTTCACTCTCTTGGCCTGTGAGACAGAGTATAAGCATCTGCTTCAGAGCTGCTGGGAGGCTAAAGGAGAAAAGATACCTGTGGCATCTAACATAATACCTGGCGGACACAAGGTGCTTAATATGGGCTTGCTCTCTTCCCCTTCTCCTTGTCCACCAAACGGAACTGGGAGTTGCTCGGCCGTACTGACACTACACAACTCAGTCACACTCGCTCTCTGTACACACAGTGAACGTGCACTGCTTCTTCTAAATACATGATTGAGAAAACCTGGGGAAACGAAAAGGCAAAGGACTAGAAGGATTCCTCTTTCTTCTTTTAGTCAAGCTATCTGATGTCCTTAAGGTTGAATGTCCTTCAGGGTCTGCACTGGCACGCTCTGCGGCAGCCAGGTGGCGCTAAGTGGACCTGAGGCCCTTCTGGTAGGTTCTGGAAAGGAAGTACCTGAAACATGTGCCACTTCCCGCACTCCGCCAGGTAAAACCAGCCCCACTGGGTGTCCGACGTGTCCATCTCATCCATTTCACTATCTGTCCTCTTGGGTAAGAATTCTTCCGCTTTGTGAAACATCTCCTGAGAAGCCAGAAAGAGGCAGAAGAAGAAATACTTTTCTTAATAACCAATGTACTTTTTCTACATCATTTTTCTTACTACAAAGAACTATATTCCAAGTGTCCTTCCCACAGTGACCCTTTAAAAATACCATTCTCTCTGGCATATTGACTCTGAAGATAGACATTTACAAAGGCTGAATATCACTGCTTAACAAATATGACAAATAATAATACACTCAGGTAAGATATATCAATGCCCATTCAACCATTTAAGTAAGCTGTGTCAATATCTATAAACACTCCAGATTTTCAATATAGTGCCAAGAAATTTCTGTCTTATCATATGTTCACACATTTGGTCAAAAAGAATCCATGCTATCACAACTAGCTAAGACCAAATACACCTGAGATTTGTTTTAAACATTCAATATTCCATGGCATGGAAAGATGTTTATAATCTATAGTGTTGAGTACAAAAAAAGGTTATAATAAATAGAAATAGTATGATCCAATTTTCATAAAAAATTCACCCATATTTACCCATATGAATATATGTGTATGTACCTGTCTGTGTGTATGTACACACATACAGATAAAAAGCCTGAAAAAGCCTATACAACAATTTATCACAGCTTTTTCTAAGTGTCAGGATAACAATAATGACTATAGTAACACTTACCTGGCTCTTACAATGTGCCAGGTGCTAAGTACTGTACAGATAATAACTCATTTAGGACTCATGACAACCTGGTAAGATAGGTATTATTATCCCAAATTTATAAAGGAGGAAACTGGAGCACAGAGAGATCATACAATAGGGCAGCCAGGATCCAAACCCAGGCAGTCTGGATCCAGGGTCTGTGCACGTAACCACCATAGTATACTGCCTTATACTTCATTATCAACGATTCTACAATCTTCCCTTATCAAGTAACTTATGTCCACACTATCTTTGAAAAGGTTTAAACATTCTTGAGTAGAGATTGTGATGAAGAGAGGGTCACCAGAAAAGGGGTGATAAGGTTAGTTAAAGATGATTAACTTTATCTGGAATGTATCCTCATTCTTTGAGGGTTTTTAAATAAATTAAATTTGCATAACTGATATATGAAAACAGTCCCTGTGCAAAAAGTCAGAACTTTCTAGATAAAGCTAAACATGTTTTTGACCGTCCCTTCCATTTCTGGTATCTTCTCACCTTCCTTCTCCAGGGTTAACCAACACTATCACTTATTCTGTATCTTTCCAATCTTTGTGTGTGTGTATAATCATATACACACATACACACATATATGGTTATTGGTGATTTGTTAAAAATTTTATTTCCTACATCTTTGATTTTTTTTTTTTTTTACAAAGAATACACACTACTTGGGTAATTTAGAAAATATTTGGTTTAAATTTCATTACTTAAAATGGTCCAACCTGTTTCCAGAAGCTATGTAACCTGGCGTAAGCTTCTAATTACCTTGTCTAGGGCAGTTTCCTCTTCACAAAATAGAGATTAAAGGTTCCGTCCTCATTGGGCCATTGTTAGTAATGAGTGAGATAATGCAGTAAAGTGCCAAGTACAGTACCTGAGCTCAATGAAGGGGGCTTGTTATTTTTTATTCATGTTTGGAAACTTCTCCAAGGAATGCTTTATGATTATTTTCTGGATTTTTCCTTCATGTTTTAAAGTTGACTGGCTGCTAAGAAATGAAAAATAGAACACTCTAGGGTCAAGAGCTTCAGGTATAGGACCCACTATTTGCCTTATACCTTTTAATCAGAAAATAAAGGCAATGATTTGAAATTTAAGATCAATTGTCCAGGTTAACTATTCACAACTCCTGCTCTTCCTTCTATTACTGTTCACATTGTTTGGCCATTTTACTGTGAGAAAGAAAGCAAGAAAAACCTAAATTTATTTTTTCTTCTGAAAATAACTCCCCAAATGTGGAAGGATGAGTTTAAAGGTAATAGTTAAGATAAACATTTGGCTTATGAGTTCTATCTTTTCTCTACTAGAAAAGGGAAATGAAAACAAGAAATAGGAAGTAGAAAATACCCTTTATACAGTATACACGTATCATGTGTGCTTTGCTATGTCACACTGTCCCTAAGATCACACTTTAAGCCAGGTTACAAGTGTGTTTTACCAAAGTCCTTCCAGAACTTCCTGTCATAAATAGCTTTGGGTCGGACCTAGGACAGACTCATCTTTTTCCCTATTTTGGAGAAGGTAGCACTATAGGAAGGTGCCACCATATAGAACATCCCCAAAGCACTTCAAATTCTACAGAATTTTTTGTCTTCCATAGCCCCATGTGCAGGATAAGTCACTATCCTCCAATTAAAGTTAGGGGGGAAATGAAGCAGAGAAAATGCAATTATTTTTTCTACAATCGTAGAGTTAGTCAGGGAGCTAAGAGTTTTAAAACTCAGCTGGCCTGCTTGAGATAGAAGACAGGTGCACTGTGCTGCCGGGCGGGCAGATGGACCGGACACAGACAGGGTGAAGGCAGGGATCTGAAGGACGCCTGGGACACAGGAGGGGAGATTGTAGGCTCCTCTGGGAGGGCTGCCCAGACAGCTGTGGACACAAATTCCTCTCCCCTGGGGCAAGGGAGAGGGCTGGCACAATTTTCCTCCCCCACCCCTCAGCATAAAGTAACCTCAGTAAGCAGCACAGTGCCAACAGTGGCAGCTTAAACTGCTTACACCAAGCCCTGCTCCCCTGCACTCTGCAGGTGCTGCTTCACTAGGGCGAGTGTGCCTGAGAGCCAGAGCAGCAGGCTCCTCCCCTAGAAAGACCAGCACAAACCCCACAGCCACCAAGTCTCCTGACCATAGAGTGCTGCAAAGCTCCAGCTCTGGTGGAAATAGGATCTGGTTTCTTTTAACAAGCCAACCAGAGCATACCTAGTTAAAACTTGCCACACTCTGGCCAAGGTCCAAACACTGCCCACTGCAGGCAAGGAGAGCCTCTGCAGACGACTGGCCTGAAGGACAGAACAGCCAAAACATAGCAGCAGAGTGCATGCAGCACACACCAGAGACACTCCCTGAAGCACCAGGCCCTGGACACTATATGACCTCTTCTTCATAAAGCCGTTACTCTCAGGAACAGGAAACATAATGGGCTTTCCTAACATACAGAAGAAGACAGACCTAGACAAAATGCCAAGATGGAGGAATTCATACCAAAAGAAAGAACAAGAAAAGGTCATGGCCAGTGATCTAATTGAAGCAGATATAAGTAATATGCCTGATCCAGAATTTAAAACAACAATCGTAAGGATGGATACTAGATGGGCTTGAGAAAAGCACAGAAGACACCAGGGAGTCCTTACTGCAGAGATAAAAGACCTAAACACTAGTTAGGCCGAAATTAAAAAAAAAAAAAATGCTACAACTGAGATGCGAAACTGACTGGATGTAATGACCACAAGGATGGAAGAAGCAAAGGAATGAGTAAATGATATAGAACATAAAATTATGAAAAATAATGAAGCCAAAAAGAAGAGGAAAAGAAAAGTATCGGATCACAAATGTAGACTTAGGGAACTCAATGACTCCATAAAGAATAGTAACATTTGTATCACAGGAATCCCAGAAGAAGAGAGAGAGAAAGGGGCAGAAGTTTTACTTGAGCAAATTATAGCTGAAAACTTCCCTAATCTGGGGAAGGAAATGGACATCCAAATCCAGGAGGCACAGAGACCTCCCATCAAAATCAACAAAAGCAGGCCAACACCAAGACATATCGTAAAACTTGCAAAATACAGAGATAAGGAAAAAAATCCTGCAGCAAGAGAAAAGAAATCCCTAACTTACAAGGGAAAACAAATAAGGTTAGCAGCAGACTTCTCCACAGAAACTTGGCAGGACAGAAGAGAGTGGCATGATTTATTCAATGTGCTGAGGAAAAATATGCAGCTAAGAATATTCTATCCGGCAAGGCTATCATTCAGAATAGAAGGAGAGATAAAGAGTTTCTCAGACAAACAAAAACTAAAGGAGTCTGCGACGACTAAACCAGCTCTGCAAAAAATATTAAAGGGGACTCTTCAAGTGGGGAATAAAAAGACCAAAAGCAACAAAGACTAGAAAGGAACAGAGAACATCACCAGAAACAACAACTTTACAGGTAACACAATGGTACTAAATTCATATCTTTCAATAATCACTCTAATTGTAAATGGACTGCTCCCATAAAAAGACATAGGGTTTGAAATGGATAAAAAAACAAGACCCATCTATATGCTGCCTACAAGAGACTCATTTGAGATTTAAAGACACCTGTAGATTGAAAGTGAGGGGATGGAGAACCACTTATCATGCTAATGGTCATCAAAAGAAGGCTGGAGTAGCCATACTTACATAAGACAAACTAGATTTTAAACCAAAGACTGTAATAAGAGATGAAGAACGGCACTATATCATAACAAAGGGGTCTATCCAGCAAGAAAATCTAACAATTATAAATATTTATGCCCCCAACTTGGGAGCCCCCCAATACATAAAACAATAACAAACATAAAGGAACTCATTAGTTATAATAAAATAATAATAGGAGACTTTAACACCCCACTTACAGCAATGGACAGATGATCTAAGCAGAAAATCAATAAGGAAACAACTGACCAGATGGACTTAATAGACATATTCAGAACATTTCATCCTAAAGCAGCAGAATACACATTCTTTTCAAGTGCACATGGGATAGTCTCCAGAATAGATCACATACTGGGTCACAAATCAGGCCTCAACAAGTACTACAAGATTGAGATCATACCATGCGTATTTTCTGACCACAATGCTATGAAACTTGAAGTCAACCAGAAGAAAAAATTTGGAAAGACCCCAAATACATGGAGGTTAAATAACATGCTACTAAAGAATGAATGGGTCAACCAGGAAATTAAAGAAGGAATTTAAAAAATACCTGGAAACAAATGAAAATGAGAACACAACAGTCCAAAACCTTTGGGATGTGGCAAAAGTGGTCATAAGAGGGAAGTACGTAGCAATACA